AATAACATACGGACTTGATACCAAGCTTACGTGATAACTCTAGTAACCAGTGGCAGGTATCCAAGAAGACGAACTGGGGTTGGAGTTCACGAAGGGAAGCTTCAATGGTTGGTTCTGTGAGGTCCATGGCAGTCATGACGAGGGGATACAGAGGAGGAAGGACGTCAGCGGTTGTCTCTGTGCCAGGGGGGAGACCATCAACATGAGGAACGGTGATCGGAATCAAGTTAATGAGGTCTGGATGGAGATTGAAGGGTTCAAACTTTTGCTTGGTTTTGGCCGGCAAGAGAAACGAGATTTTGTGGCCTCTTTCTGCAAGTTTGTTGGCTAAGTTAAGAAATGGGGTAATGTGGCCCATTGCAAACCATGGATACATGACAATGTGAAAGGTCGCCATGGTTATGAAAAATCCTTGCTCTGATTTCCTCTTCTTCACAGCAGTTGAAACTTGAATCCAACCCACTTATTACCAAAGCCAAGTTCTCATGGCATCCATGGCCATGTGATAACATACAAGAGACGACACGACTTCACTGTATAAAGAATCAACAATTACCATTAGCTGCAATCTTCACCAAAAATCAAAATTCAGCAATTACCATAAATATATAAACAACAAGATCCCTCAATCTGAACTTATATAGAGTCATAAATAAAATAGTTAAATTTACTTTCAATAAGGTAGAAGCAATAATTCAATCACACAATAGGGAGCTTGGCTAGATCCGAAATTAAGAATTACAACCAACAAAATAGAAATCAGCTCAAAGTTAACACATGACACCATGAAATTTTCTCTCTCGAATTTTCACAGCAACCGAACAGGAAACCAAGAAAAAAATCAAAAGGACTGTCGTACTTACTCATCTTTTCCGGAGTAGAGAAACGGCGTTGACCGGTGGCCTGCTTCCCTTTTCCCTTTGTTTCAGAGAATCGATAAAAAAAAATCAGAAAATAAATGGAATTGAATAGAAAAATAGCTTCCCTCCCTCGGGAAAACAGTGTTCAAGCTTTCCCTTTTGATCAAAGAAACCCCAGCTAGTCAAATCACAGGACTTTTTGAGAATCACAAACGGTAGAAATTAGGGAGGAGAGAACTGGAAAAACGGAGGCCTCAAAGCTATGGGGAAGCGGAGAAATTTTGGGAATAAAGTTGGAATTAGAGAATCACAGCTCTCAAGAGAGAGATTTGAAGGGGATGGCGTGAGGTGAAGCTCCAATTGGAGAAGGAGAACGTGCCGGTAGTTGTAGGATATACAAAAGAAAGCGAAGTTTTGACTTCCATATTCAATTTTCGCTGTCTTCTGCAACTTGACTGAATATTTTAATTTACCGTCCGTTAGCTAAGTACTGCGAAGACCGGTTTCCGGTGACCACTTTAAAAGATAAGATAAGGTGGCACAATGAGAACGACTGAACGAGAGTGGTGAAGAGCGAGTGTCTCAGGCGATTAGAACTAGCACTGCTCTTTAAATTTTAAGCTGCACTAAATTGTAAGAGAAAAAGGGGGAAAAAAAATGATCATTAGGTCGGGAGAAAGTCTCTTGGTATTAGAAGGCTAAATCTCAATCCAGTAGTTAATGTTAAATGTTTAGTGGTTGGATATAATATGAATTAAGTAACACATTTTTAAATTGCAAATACTTCCCTTGATTTTTCCTAAAATTATATTTTTAAGTTTCTACTCAATAATTTGAAGTATATACATATTTTGAAATTTATGTCTTTTCAATTTAGATTGAGTTTTTAAAGTACAATTTAAATATTAAAATTATTAAATTATTATTAATAAATGAATGTAAAAAAATTTATTAAAAATATTTTAATAATTTCAATGTCTAAGCTATATTTGT